TCCCGTTAGTGAAGTATAAACCAGTCTAAATGGCTTCACCAACGATATTAATTAAAGTGAATACAGAAGGACGAACCAATTTCGAAGCCACGACACACACACACCTCCGTACCCCCCCCCCCCTGTTTTTAGTAGGCACGGTGCTAAAGAGATTATTTTGATCTTTGTTAAATCATACATAAAGTTGATGTGATTACCTGGATGAATGATTAATCCCATTGAAAGGCAACTATAATGTAAAAGCGAGTATATACCTGGTCGGGCACTAGGTGGGGAGCCACCGTCAGTGATACCTCTGGCTATACCTGGTCGGGCACTAGGTGAGCCATCTCAACAGCCACTCTCCTGGTCAACAAAGGTGTCCAGCAGCTGGACACCCTCATAAAGACTGTGAAGCAGTATCCTCCCCCACGATAACAGCTTGCTGGTTAAATGCAACCTCAGAATACTGAGAAAAAAAAATTGTACCACTTACGGGCTATTCATGCCCGTGCCACCTCTTGGGTGGCTTAATCTTTATCAATCATCATCAGTGAGCCATCGTCAGTGATACCCTGGCTATACCTGGTCGGTCACTAGGTGAGCCATCGTCAGTGATACCCTGGCTATACCTGGTCGGTCACTAGGTGAGCCATCGTCAGTGATACCCTGGCTATACCTGGTCGGGCACTAGGTGAGCCATCGTCAGTGATACCCTGGCTATACCTGGTCGGGCACTAGGTGAGCCATCGTCAGTGATACCCTGGCTATACCTGGTCGGGCACTAGGTGAGCCATCGTCAGTGATACCCTGGCTATACCTGGTCGGGCACTAGGTGAGGAGCCACCGTCAGTGATACCCTGGCTATACCTGGTCGGGCACTAGGTGGGGAGCCACCGTCAGTGATACTCTGGCTATACCTGGTGGGGCACTAGGTGAGGAGCCACCGTCAGTGATATCCACCGCCAGTGATAGCCACCGGTCAGTGATGAGCCACCGCCAGGGTATCACCAGGCTATACCTGGTCGGGCACTAGGTGAGGAGCCGCCGTCAGTGATACCATGATTACACCTGGACGGGAATTTCACATGAAGGTTAAAAGAAGTTTGAAGTTTTTACCAGGTTAATAGCGCTAAGGAATGCATCTGAAGACTGACAGTCCTGAGTCGGTGGGGAAGGGTGTGTGTGTGTGTACTCACCTATATGTACTCACCTATATGTGCTTGCAGGATCGAGCATTGACTCTTGGATCCCGCCTTTCTAGCTATCGGTTGTTTACAGCAATGACTCCTGTCCCATTTCCCTATCATACCTAGTGTTAAAAGTATGAATAGTATTTGCTTCCACAACCTGTTCCCCAAGTGCATTCCATTTTTCTACTACTCTCACGCTAAAAGAAAACTTCCTAACATCTCTGTGACTCATCTGAGTTTCCAGTTTCCACCCATGTCCCCTCGTTCTGTTATTATTACGTGTGAACATTTCATCTATTTCCACTTTGTCAATTCCCCTGAGTATTTTATATGTCCCTATCATATCTCCTCTCTCCCTTCTTTTCTCTAGTGTCGTAAGGTTCAGTTCCTTCAGCCGCTCTTCATATCCCATCCCTCGTAACTCTGGGACAAGCCTCGTCGCAAACCTCTGAACCTTCTCCAGTTTCTTTATGTGTTTCTTCAGGTGGGGGCTCCATGATGGCGCGGCATACTCTAAAACGGGTCTCACGTAGGCAGTGTAAAGCGCCCTAAAAGCTTCCTCATTTAGGTTTCTGAATGAAGTTCTAATTTTCGCCAGTGTAGAGTACGCTGCTGTCGTTATCCTATTTATATGTGCCTCAGGAGTTAGATTAGGTGTCACATCCACTCATCCACACACATCCACATGTGTGTGTGTGTGTGTGTGTGTGTGTGTGTGTCTGAACACAAGACGGTCGTCGGAATAGTGTCGGCAAACACCGCGATGAAGTTGATAGCAGGGGAAGAAGAAGGGAGGACGGCGCAGTGTCGACTAATACCGACGAGTCGGAACAAGCACACACACACACACACACACACACACACACACACACACACACACACACACACACACACACACACACACACACACACACACACACACCCTCCCCGCGGCCAAAATCCATGACAGGATAAAGAGAACGGGTCAAGTCGACCTGCTTTCCCCGTCAAGGCAGAAGCAGTACCAGGGCGGGTGGCTCCGCCGTACAAGGCGATAAGAATGATGGTGTTTTGTCCGGTGTGTCTTAACTGTGGTTAAGGGGAAAATTATGCGACAAAGGTGGGAGCCGACCCGATGACTGGTGACTAGTGAAAAGCTTGTGTTAGAAGGGTGTGGCAGAGACCATACAGTCTTTTCACTCGTTCTTCTTCATAATATTCTTAGCAATATATATATATATATATATATATATATATATATATATATATATATATATATATATATATATATATATATATATATATATATATATGGCACTTCCACCTGGCTGAACTGGAAGACAGCAACACAGTGTTAACGTTCGTGTTGCTAGAGAGGCTGTGTTGCAATTGCTGCAGCTAATCAACGTTGTTAATTACAAGGCCGTAACTATGGTGCAATATTATCTACTTCCTTTAATATCAACTTTAAAGTCATAAATAATCTAAGCTTCGATAGATCATTAGTTGAGACCATGTTGTTAAAGTCATTATGGGTAGTGTGTGTGTGTGTGTGTGTGTGTGTGTGTGTGTGTGTGTGTGTGTGTGTGTGTGTGTGTGTGTGTGTGTGTGTGTGTGTGGTGATGGGAGAATTGAAGAATGTTAGGTTAGGAACAGTGGTGAACCATTGTGTGTGTATGTGGGGGGGGGGTGGAGGGTGTTTCATGTTTTGAGGGAGGGGGGGGGGGCAGATCATGCTGAAAGAAGGGAGGGGGGTATAACATCCCGAGTTTTTATTTTTTTGAGCCAGGGCGGAGTCGGCGTTCGATTCCCCAATGCTCCAAAAATAATTGAGGTCGTGGCTAATAATACAAACACGTCATTAGTTGAGTGGTGATTCACGCCACCGGCTCACAATCACGTGGTCCCTAGTTCAATGCTCGAGCAGGGCAAGATATTTTTGGTGGCTTATTTCCTATAACCCCTGCTGTTGGCCTAGCTGTAAACAGGCATCAGGGGGAGACAGTTGACTATTGTGGGTAGCATCGAGTCGTCGACCTAGCGGAGTATCTTAACCCTGGAACCACAAACCGAAACTGTCTCTATTTTCCGCTTGTTACAACTTGTAATAAAGTTGTTACATCTTGGCTTAACGTGTTTATGACGTATTAGAACGTTGTTACAACTTGCTATATTGGTTGTTATAACTGGGTTAGGAAGTGTTAAAACTTGTTCGAACGTTGTACCAACGTCGTAGTTTCGGTGTGTGTTTGGCGGGAAGGCACTGGTCTTATCCAGGAGCGTGAAACAAAGACCCCTTAACAGCCAAATTACCGAGGAGCAAACGCCTCAAGACACACACAAAGGAGCTGAGACCATGAGACCCACTCAACAAGCTCTGAACGCCTGTCAAGGGATCACCAGGTTGCACTCTCTTGCACACGTATAATTGCACTCAAATTATGCACTCATTTCACTGATGCGGCGTTCATGATAAGAATTATAATCATTAAGAAATTAACAGCATGGCTTATGGACACGTGTGAGGACTGAATATTAAATAATATTGATCAACTACGCTATGATTAACGCAGCAAGGGACAAGGAACACCAGATAAGGGAGGAGCGAGGCTACACCTCAGTCATCAACAGGAGGTCAAGCTACACCTCAGTCATCAACAGGAGGTCAAGCTACACCTCAGTCATCAACAGGAGGTCAAGCTACATCCCAGTCATCAACAGGAGCGAGGCTACATCCCAGTCATCAACAGGAGGTCAAGCTACATCCCAGTCATCAACAGGAGGTCAAGCTACATCCGTCATCAACAGGAGCGAGGCTACATCCCAGTCATCAACAGGAGGTCAAGCTACACCTCAGTCATCAACAGGAGGTCAAGCTACATCCCAGTCATCAACAGGAGGTCAAGCTACACCTCAGTCATCAACAGAAGGTTAAGCTACGCCTCAGTCATCAACAGGAGGTCAAGCTACACCTCAGTCATCAACAGGAGGTCAAGCTACACCTCAGTCATCAACAGGAGGTCAAGCTACACCTCAGTCATCAACAGGAGGTCAAGCTACACCTCAGTCATCAACAGGAGGTCAAGCTACACCTCAGTCATCAACAGGAGGTCAAGCTACACCTCAGTCATCAACTACAGACTGATTATATAACATTCATCAACAGGAGGCTAAAGAGATCAGATTAATCAACAGGTGACTGATAGATGTTCTGTATATAGGGAAGTACGAGAGAGAGAGAGAGAGAGAGAGAGAGAGAGAGAGAGAGAGAGAGAGAGAGAGAGAGAGAGAGAGAGAGAGAGAGAGAGAGAGAGAGAGAGAGAGAGAGAGAGAGAGAGAGAGAAATAGAGACAGTCATCAGACAGACAGACAGATAAAAGCCTGACTACAGGCTGACTGGCGGCCCCAATAAACCCCCGAGTCACCATAAATATTCTCAGTCACACCTAAACAACAATTATATTACACTGCTGCTCTTAACCTTCCCTCCCTCACTCTTAGAACTCTCCTCACTCACACGCGTAACTTTCTACACCAACACTCACACCTGGACCTGTGTGTGTGTGTCTCTCTATGTACCAACCAGGTGTCAAAGAACGCAAGGCTCTATATATGTGTGTCGTAAGAGTCAGCATAGAGGGAGAGTGGGGTTCCCAGAGCCGACAGTGCCACGTTCCCGTTGATAAACACCCCTCAGAGAGACACACAGAACGGCACTGTGCTTCTCCTCCAACTACACGTTAGATGGAGAGTTTGATAAGCAACGATGAATGCGATATTGTGCTCTGTTGGGTCGGTGATTAACGTCGCGCCGGGGCGGACACGTGGGATATGCCATCGTTGATCTTAATGAGAGTTTTACAACCGTTCCGCTTCAAGTCTGTATCTGGGAATATTAAGAGATTCATTAGCAGTTTGCCACGGATTGTAAACACACTCTCTATATCTCTCTCTCTCTCTCTCGGTCTAATAGCAAAAGGCTTTTTAAAGTTGATTGAGGCGATAAGAAGGTAATTTAACGTTCAAACCATATAGAAATATCCCAATTAGTTAACTGGCAACAACGGATTTAATATATAATATAACTGGGCCATTGCAGACAAATGCGAGAGAAGTATATATGTATTTAGCGGCAGCTGGAGAGGCATTTGTGCACTGGTTGGGGAGGGGGGAGGGAGAGGGAGGGAGGGAGAGGGAGAGGGAGAGAGAGAGAGAGAGAGAGAGAGAGAGAGAGAGAGAGAGAGAGAGAGAGAGAGAGAGAGAGAGAGAGAGAGAGAGAGAGAGAGAGAGAGAGAGAGAGAGAGAGAGAGAGAGAAAGAGAGAGAGAGAGAGAGAAAGAGAGAGAGAGAGAGAGAAAGACAGAGAGAGACAGAGACAGAGAAAAAGAGAGACAGAGAGAGACAGAGACCGAGAGACAGAGAAGACACAGAGAGAGCGCGCGCGTCATCGGGAGACCATCCACTCCCCGCCACCACCTCGCAAGACAAGCCCCTCAAGGTTTGCCACGAATTATAGCAATCTCAGAGTTTATTCATCTGTGACTGAGGACAAGAGGGAACAGTGTCCTGAGAGGGAGCCAGACGCAAGCGAAGCTGTTGTTCATGACCAAACTTGACAGTGGGAAGACCTTGGGCGGCTCATGACTCTTTTAAACCACGTTCACAGTCTGTAAACTCCAGGACTAATAGTAAACTTTTTTATGGTAGTTAGGTTGTCCACAAAGCCGTGAAACTACTCCAACCAGCCTGAGAAAACTACCGGAATGCTGACATTTGTTTTATTTATGGATAACAGAGGTTCATAAAGGCGTGGGGGGGGGGGGGGGGAGAGAGGTAAGGGATCGACATAGATTGCAGGTGCGGTTCCTAATTTGCATCTGCGAGGCATTCAGCGTCGCATACATTACGCATCACACGTGCGGGCTATAATTAGTCAAATAACTGTAAAATACCTGTGCTGATAGGATTTGCACACCTGCTATTTCAGCTGAAATTATTGAGAGACACTCGGTGCTGGGTTTTTTTTTTTTTTACTCGTAAATACTTAAACTTACAAGCATAGTTCACGTTGGTTAGGCGGCTCTAGGGGTTGGCTGGAGACGTCAAGACGTCGGATAGACGCGTCAAGACGTCGGATAGACGCGTCAAGACGTCGGATAGACGCGTCAAGACGTCGGATAGACGCGTCAAGACGTCGGATAGACGCGTCAAGACGTCGGATAGACGCGTCAAGACGTCGGATAGACGCGTCAAGACGTCGGATAGACGCGTCAAGACGTCGGATAGACGCGTCAAGACGTCGGATAGACACGTCAAGACGTCGGATAGACGCGTCAAGACGTCGGATAGACGCGTCAAGACGTCGGATAGACGCGTCAAGTCGTCGGATAGACGCGTCAAGACGTCGGATAGACGCGTCAAGACGTCGGATAGACGCGTCAAGACGTCGGATAGACGCGTCAAGACGTCGGATATTCTCTTGACGGAAGACGCTGGCCAGAAACGGCCGTCAAGCGTGTCAAATACCATGGTGAGTAGACCGTATTAAGGACAAACACAGAGTGTATCATTTGACTGAGCGTGGCGAAAGGTCATGTCGAGCGGGTGTATCGATTCAGCATTCTGACCGGGTGTACTTTCTGGGCTTCTCGGCGCCTGTATTTGCTGTATCGTCCAGTGAATACACTCGCTGGGCATAATGGATGGGCGTAATGAAGAGGTGTGTCGAATTGTGTTGGATATATGTTTTCATAGAGGCAGTGTTGTGTAGAGGCAAGCGTTTGCGTAGGGGGGTGGGAGGCAGTGTTGCATAGGGGGGCCAGTGTTGCATAGGGGGGGCCAGTGTTGCATAGGGGGCCAGTGTTGCATAGGGACCGGTGTTGCATAGAGACCGGTGTTGCATAGGGGCCAGTGTTGCATAGGGGGCCAGTGTTGCATAGGGGCCAGTATTGCATAGGAGCCAGTGTTGCATAGGGGGCCAGTGTTGCATAGGGGCCAGTGTTGCATAGGGGTCAGTGTTGCATAGGGGCCAGTATTGCATAGGAGCCAGTGTTGCATAGGGGGCCAGTGTTGCACAGGGGGCCAGTGTTGCACAGGGGCCAGTGTTGCACAGGAGGGGGGGGAGTGCGAGTGGTTGTGTGTGATTGCAGTGTGGTGAAAGCTATTTTTTTTGTCATGGCAGATTATAAACAATGCTGTTGAATATGTATAAGATTGTTACGGGTTATTCATGCCCGTGCCACCTCTTGGGTGGCTTAATCTTTATCAATGAATCAATCATGTATAAGAGGTCACGGTGAAAGGCTAATCCATGAGGTCAAAGCACAAAAAAGTAACAAGTATTCGGAAGAGTAATGAAGTACAATGAAAAGTAACCTAATTGTGGTAAAAATGCCCCTGCTTATCTGCTAATTAGTCCATTAATTAAACCCTTAATTGCGAGTCCTTAATTTCTTGACAATCAGGAGAGCATCTCCTCTTTACACGGGAGACATCTCTCGTCACGTAGGGTGCAGTCGCACCTCCACAGATCTCCAGTATCAGCTCTTGATACTGGTAATGGCTCAAAAGGGCCACCACTTACGGGCTATTCATGCCCGTGCCACCTCTTGGGTGGCTTAAACTTTATTAATTATTAATTAATCAGGAGAGACTGTGTGTGTAACGACCGTTGCTTGCAGGTAATAAGCCCCGATAATGATGAATGAGCAGTGAATGTGAGTCGAAAAGACATGGAATTTCAGGAGGGGGTCCGGTGACTGAGCGGACAGAACACTGGACTTGTGATCCTGTGGTCCTGGGTTCGATCCCAGGCGCCGGAAAGAAACAATGGGCTGAGTTTCTTTCACCCTGATGCCCCTGTTACCTAGCAGTAAATAGGTACCTGGGAGTTTAGTCAGCTGTCACGGGCTGCTTCCTGGGGGATGGAGGCCTGGTCGAGGACACTAAAGCCCCGAAATCATCTCAAGATAACCTCAAGATAAGGGATATTATGCTCATCGAAGATCAGATATGCTTAAAGGGAGGCTTATGTTGACTACGGGCTCTATAAGCCTTTACACCACCGCCCACGGGATGGGTATGGGGTGCATAATAAAGAAAGAAATTGAATTGGGCAGGGGCTCGTACCTTCGTTTCGCGTAAGGGCACGAGTGGAAATAAGTCGTGATGAAAGCTCTAAGATGGTTACACTATAATGTAAGGTCTCTTTAAGTATTTTCAAACCCCTTCCAAACACCCTTTCCTTCCCCCCCCCCACCTCCTCCTGTGCCCTTCCTTCCCCCCTCCCACCTCCTCCTGTGCCCTTCCTTCCCCCCTCCCACCTCCTCCTGTGCCCTTCCTTCCCCCCTCCCACCTCCTCCTGTGCCTTTCCTTCCCCCCTCCCACCTCCTCCTGTGCCCTTCCTTCCCCCCTCCCACCTCCTCCTGTGCCCTTCCTTCCCCCCTCCCACCTCCTCCTGTGCCCTTCCTTCTCCCCTCCCACCTCCTCCTGTACCCTTCCTTCTCCCCTCCCACCTCCTCCTGTGCCCTTCCTTCTCCCCTCCCACCTCCTCCTGTGCCCTTCCTTCCCCCCTCCCACCTCCTCCTGTGCCCTTCCTTCTCCCCTCCCACCTCCTCCTGTGCCCTTCCTTCTCCCCTCCCACCTCCTCCTGTGCCCTTCCTTCCCCCCTCCCACCTCCTCCTGTGCCCTTCCTTCTCCCCTCCCACCTCCTCCTGTGCCCTTCCTTCTCCCCTCCCACCTCCTCCTGTGCCCTTCCTTCCCCCCTCCCACCTCCTCCTGTGCCCTTCCTTCTCCCCTCCCACCTCCTCCTGTGCCCTTCCTTCTCCCCTCCCACCTCCTCCTGTGCCCTTCCTTCTCCCCTCCCACCTCCTGTGCCCTTCCTTCTCCCCTCCCACCTCCTCCTGTGCCCTTCCTTCGCCCCTCCCACCTCCTCCTGTGCCCTTCCTTCTCCCCTCCCACCTCCTCCTGTGCCCTTCCTTCTCCCCTCCCACCTCCTCCTGTGCCCTTCCTTCTCCCCTCCCACCTCCTCCTGTGCCCTTCCTTCTCCCCTCCCACCTCCTCCTGTGCCCTTCCTTCTCCCCTCCCACCTCCTCCTGTGCCCTTCCTTCTCCCCTCCCACCTCCTCCTGTGCCCTTCCTTCTCCCCTCCCACCTCCTCCTGTGCCCTTCCTTCCCCCCTCCCACCTCCTCCTGTGCCCTTCCTTCTCCCCCTCCCACCTCCTCCTGTGCCCTTCCTTCTCCCCTCCCACCTCCTCCTGTGCCCTTCCTTCTCCCCTCCCACCTCCTCCTGTGCCCTTCCTTCTCCCCTCCCACCTCCTCCTGTGCCCTTCCTTCTCCCCTCCCACCTCCTCCTGTGCCCTTCCTTCTCCCCTCCCACCTCCTCCTGTGCCCTTCCTTCTCCCCTCCCACCTCCTCCTGTGCCCTTCCTTCTCCCCTCCCACCTCCTCCTGTGCCCTTCCTTCTCCCCTCCCACCTCCTCCTGTGCCCTTCCTTCTCCCCTCCCACCTCCTCCTGTGCCCTTCCTTCTCCCCTCCCACCTCCTCCTGTGCCCTTCCTTCCCTCTTTCCCACCTACAGCTCCTTCCCCCCCTCCCACCTCCTCCTGTGCCCTTCCTTCCCCCCTCCCACCTCCTCCTGTGCCCTTCCTTCCCCCCTCCCACCTCCTCCTGTGCCCTTCCTTCCCCCCCTCCCACCTCCTCCTGTGCCCTTCCTTCCCCCCTCCCACCTCCTCCTGTGCCCTTCCTTCTCCCCTCCCACCTCCTCCTGTGCCCTTCCTTCTCCCCTCCCACCTCCTCCTGTGCCCTTCCTTCCCCCCTCCCACCTCCTCCTGTGCCCTTCCTTCCCCCTCCCACCTCCTCCTGTGCCCTTCCTTCCCCCCTCCCACCTCCTCCTGTGCCCTTCCTTCCCCCCTCCCACCTCCTCCTGTGCCCTTCCTTTCCCCCTCCACCTCCTCCTGTGCCCTTCCTTCCCCCTCCCACCTCCTCCTGTGCCCTTCCTTCCCCCCTCCCACCTCCTCCTGTGCCCTTCCTTCTCCCCTCCCACCTCCTCCTGTGCCCTTCCTTCCCTCTTTCCCACCTACAGCTCCTTCCCCCCTCCCACCTCCTCCTGTGCCCTTCCTTCCCCCCTCCCACCTCCTCCTGTGCCCTTCCTTCCCCCCTCCCACCTCCTCCTGTGCCCTTCCTTCCCCCTCCCACCTCCTCCTGTGCCCTTCCTTCCCCCCTCCCACCTCCTCCTGTGCCCTTCCTTCCCCCCTCCCACCGAACAAAAACCTTGCGAACAACCATCCCGGGGTGTAAACGCCCCCAGTAAGAATCGGTGCAATCATGAGGTGCCACGGATGTACTGCTCCCTAGGCTGAGTGTTAGATGCCTTTTATGAATAGCCCTTGAGCGCGACATTTAACAGCTGTCTTGAGCGCGCGCCCTCTAAATATTCCTTATTTCCTCACACACATACACACACTTTTGTCGCTGTGTGATGGTGCTTGCAAATTAATGGGCCCTCGTGGGATGATGTTATCAGGGGTAGGGGGGGTAGGGGGGTTCCGCAGGGACTTCATGTGTGCCGGGTGCTAATTCCAGTCCTACTTTTCTTGGCAAATCAACAAAACCCACATTCACCACCTTAGAATGTTCACAAATACTGTAAAACTCAAGAGGGAGTGAGAGTGTAAGAGTGAGTGTAAGAGTGTGTGTGTGTGTGTGTGTGTGTGTGTGTGTGTGTGTGTGTGTGTGTGTGTGTGTGTGTGTGTGTGTGTGTGTGTGTGTAAATACACGGAAATCTTCCTGGGCTGATAACTGCTTCAGGTCGTTAGGCAGGTTAAAAGTGCACATAAGAAGTCATCTCGAGCACAAACAGCGAGGCACCCAGAAGTCTACACCGGATGAACCAGGCGTGACTTGGTATCTGATGATTTCAAGACTGATGATTTAAGCGGCACAGCTGAGGCCGCTTAAATCATCATCGATCATCCGAGGGCCGCGAGAAAATCTACCGGCGATGTTTCATAGTCCTAAAGAGCATAAAGATACAAGGCATAGATGGCTAACTAGTCAGATAAATTAAATGTACATCTGGCTATACCGTGCGTGTGTGTGTGCGCGGCGAGGATTGGGTGGGAACGATTGCAGACAATTATCCAAGCATATATCACACCAGTTGTCGGGGCGTAGCTGACAGTCGCGACAGTCGCTAGTTGAATGGTCATTAACTCCAATACGAAGTGTCTGTCCATGTGTCGTTGTGCTTGTTGCCACAAGGAAATGTGTGTGTTACTGACACGGCTCCTTAACCCGACTGTCTGTCTGTCTGTCTGTCTGTCTGTCTGTCTGTCTGTCTGTGTGTGTGTGTGTGTGTGTGTGTGTGTGTGTGTGTGTGTACACCCATTGATACTACCAATCTAACCACTACCAATTCCATCCCGCGTGATGGCCATTTTAGTGACACACACACACACACATAATATTGAACTATATTACATAGTTACAAAACTACGTAACCCTTCATAATAGAGTCCAGCAGCCGCGTTAAAATGCACAAGTACCCAAGCTTTAGGAGGCCTGATCGACGACCGGGCCGAGAGGACGCTAAGCCCCGGAAGCACCTCAAGGTAACCTCAAGGTAAATATATTGATACAGAACAAACTGTGGGCCTTGTATACTAATGACATGTGAGAGGGGAATTTTCTGCTCCAATTTACAAATGCCACGATGACGTTCATGGTTAAATTAATATGGATCTATAGTGAGAGCGTCGTTCATCCTACGAACAAAACAATAAGTTTCCTCCCCACTTCTCGACAGAGGGAAGGGAACGGAAGCAATTAGGTAACATAAACAAACCCAGCAGAGATAATGTTATTTATTTCAGGAGTGCAGTTTATATGGCCCCCCCCCCTCCTCCCTCCCCACCTCGAGCAGCGGAGGCAGGAGCTATAAACAGTTGTCCCGACAGCACAAGAAACCTTTGAAGATAACGCAGTCTTGAGTGAGCTGCTTCGAGGCTAAAGAAACTAAGGAAAAGTCTCGCTCGACGAATATTGAAGGCGAGGAGAGACTTGCTCCTCCTCACTTGTCACCGCGCTTCTATATCACACCTTGAGGGAGGGAGGGAGGGAGGGAGGGAGAGGGGGAGAAAGGGGGAGAGAGGGGGAGAGAGGGAGGGGGAGAGGGGGAGGGAGAGAGAGAGATGTATTTTCTGTTGGTATTTACTATATGTGCCTGCAGGATCGAACTGTTTTAGCTCGATCCTGAACGTTTTTACTTCTGACATCAAGCTTGGTGTCTTAGTAGTAAGGTGACAGTCTCGCTGATTCACACGCCGTGGCAGCAGGAATACTGTCGAGAGATCCTCACCCCTCCTGCACAAGGTCCTCCATCAAGAGGTCCGAACACTTCTGCTGTGTTGGCACTGTCGAGGGAGTCCTCATCTTCCGGCTGCAGTGACAACCAAGGGGCCCCTGACCCTCCGACAGAAGGGATACAGGAGCGCCCGTAGTCCGGCTGAACCAGACAATAAGAGAAGCCCCCCCGACAAGAGACTTTGTCATTGTCCCCTCGCATGCAAATCCAGACCGTTTGTAACTGTCATGAAGAGGATTATTGAGAGCTGCAACAGCACACGCTGGCCCGGTATTGCATCCCCTCCCCCTCCCTAGCCGGGTATATCATCCCCCTCCCCCCCCCCCCCATCCAAAACCGGGTATTGCACTCTCCCCCATATCCCCCCCCCCCCCACCCGTCCCGGCCCCTCCAGCTGTCTCATCACCTAAACTAATGTAAACACGACGCTTACTCTCTTCTGTCTCGCGTCAATTGTGTACAGTTGCTCTCGTAGTGTTAGGCAGGTGTCAAACGGAAGCGTTGCTCAGGGAAATTAATTTGCCTTTCACATGTTGTTTAGAAAAGAAATACTTTGAAGGTGAATTGTAGTGAGAATGTGATTCAGGACGAGTTTGGCGCATGAGAACGAGTTTGATACATCAGGGGACGAGTTCGATGCATCAAATGACGAGTTCAACGCATCAGTGGACGAGATCGACGTATCAAATGACGAGTTCGATGCATCAGAGGAAAAGTAGCTCATCCTGCAACGGTCGCAGGTCATTTTAAGCCAGTAGCTGGCCGGCCACTTGGTTTCTCGACGACCAGGTCTGTGTTTACCTTGAGGCATTCAACGCCCACTTTCTTTCTCGTCTCTCGAAGCCACATCGAACTCAAGCGACACAAAAGAACAGTGGTACGCACCTGTCAAGAGGCGAGCCATGTTGAAGACACGGGTCGCGGGCAGGTTGGGGGTCGTTGTTTGCGAGGTCGTGTCGTCATTTACGACTACATGTGCTTACATGCGGTGAACGGCGGGTCGTTCCCTTCACCTGGCATCACCTGTTATTTTGCCGTTGTTCGCATTACTTCCTCTACCTGACCTCTGAAGATGCTGCAGGTGTGTAATAGTGGAACTGTAGCTGTGTTTCTCTGTGTGGGTTGGTGGCTCATTGTGGAGATTACTGCATTACGCGTGTTCTTCATGCCTGGGACTTAATCATTCTCTCAATCTTTCTCGTTCTCTATCCCTCTTCTTCCACTCTCTCTCTCCCTGCCTCCCTCCCTCCCTCCCTTGACGATGGCAAGGATGTGTCCAGGTGTCGGCGGCGTGGCTGTCGGCGCGCGTGCTAGTGTGCCTCGGGGCGACCCTCCTGTCACCGGACCGCTGTTTTCACACCCTTTTCTCTCACTTAAGCAGGCTTAATGACGGGGCGACTGTGTTTACCTTTCATAATTCACGCGCCTCGCTCGCTGACACACGCCCTCGCTCGCTGACACACGCGCCTCGCTCGCTGACACACGCCCTCGCTCGCTGACACACGCCCTCGCATCTCTCACAACCTTCCCAGAATGCTCTCCACACGCGGTTGAATGATAATGATAACTTAGAGTTTATTTCTAGTTTTTTTATATATTGTTACTGGCGTATTTTTTTATTTTTGTGTAAATGAAGAAATGGTTAAGTGAACTTCATGACGGTGGTTCAGAATTGCTAGGGCGGGGGGTGGGGGGGTGGGGGGGGATGTCGATAGTTATTGTGGGTGAACACAGGCCGAACAGGCGGGCAAAAACAGATTCCATTTTGACATGGTTGGAAATGTCTGGCAAAACTGTAGTTTTTTTTTTGTCGTTCGTGCGAATATTTTAGCTGCTTGACTAGCCACCACATCACTGCCTAATGCATTTCATCTGTTAACTACTCTGACACTGAAAAAGATCTTTCTAACGTCCCTGAAGTGTGTGTGTGTATTCACCTAGTTGTGTTTGCGGGGGTTGACCTTTGCTCTTTCGGCCCTCCTCTCAACTCTCAATCAACTGTTTGCTAAGTATTTTTTTTTCCACACCACACACACACATACACCAGGAAGCAGCCCGTGACAGCTGACTAACTCCCAGGTACCTATTTACTGCTAGGTAACAGGGGCCTTCAAGGTGAAAGAAACTTTGCCCATTTGTTTCTGCCTCGTGCGGGAATCGAACCCGCGCCACAGAATTACGAGTCCTGTGCGCTATCCACTAGGCTACGACGTGTGTGTGTGTGTGTGCCTACCTACCTACCTACCTACCTACCTACCTACCTACCTACCTACCTTTCAGCATTTTCAGGACCAAACATTAGCTGGTGGGGACTACACCATTTCCAATTGCCAGTCGTTTACCGCCCAAACTCATTAGTTTGTTGTCACACACGTTTTTGAAACGATGAAAAGCAGCCCCTTCTATTGTAGCCCCCCCCCCCCTCAAGTTCGCTCCGTCTACTGTCTACACTTTATCAAATATTTCTCCTCACCCATACGTCTCACCTGTGACTCTCGAGTACGTCTCCTTACGTCGCAGAGAGACGTAACACGGGAGGCATCTCCCGTCACGCAGGGTGCAGTCGCACCTCCACAGATCTCCAGTATCATTTATTGATACTGGTAATGGCTCAAAAGGGCCACCACTTACGGGCTATTCATGCCCGTGCCACCTTTTGGGTGGCTTAATCTTTATCAATCATCTTTATCAGAGATGTAAACACAATTTTGTTTTCCACCGATACACACCTGGATCATACCCGGAGCGGATTCTGGGACTTTTTCGACTCCCTCGAGTCCCCCTGAGCCTGGGGCGAGGCTTTTGTGGTAACTATTAGTAACTGGGATATCTGGATCATGTCCACTGTATGTCGTTATAAATTATTTACCGCGTTATTAACTTCCGCTCTTTCAGTCTATACAGATAGCTTACCTACACGCAAGCATGCTCGCACACGCGCAAGCAGGCACACGCAAGCACGCGCGTGCATAGAGAGGGGGGGGGTGGAGCCAGAACGGAAGGTGTGGGGTTGCACCTCCACCTCTTTATCACATGGTGGGGTCGCTGTATTCCTTCCTGGACGGGTTTTGTGCCCGTCCGTTTACCCTCAAGGGAGGGGGAAAAAACCCACTCCAAGCTGGTAACAGTTTCCGCGGTAAACGGAGACTCCTTATATACTTGTTGTACACGCTGTGTGGGAGCTTGTTGAGGGTAGGGGGAGAGGGGGAGAGGGGTGGGGGGGGGAAGGGGTAGGGGAGGATAGAGGGTAGGGGAGACTTGGGAGGGAGTTGGGGGTGTATGGTTGCCGGGGATGAAGGAAGAGGTGTGAAGTGTACCAACTTGTTATCAAGTGGTGTGGGTGTTGTAGGGTGTGGGTGTTGTAGGGTGTGTGGGGTGAAGATTATGTGTGCTGCGTACACATAATACTCCCCCCACCCTCTCACTCTACCCCCCATCCTCCCCCCCCTCTCTCCTTGCCTCGAGGGGGGGGGGGAGGAAGAAGTTGTGGTAGCGGCGTTGGAGGGTCGAGCGCTGGCTCCCAAGCCCCGCCTCTCAAACCATCGGCCGTTGAAAACTGACACACTTCCCTCCCCCCCTCTTATACAGAGGTTTCCTATATTATATAATATATATATATATATAATGTTGCATCCAGCCCACCTTCAACCAAATTCTCCTCTCTGTGTGTTAGGTCCTGTAAAAGATATAACCAACCAGGAAGAAGTCTTGTTTCTATAAATACTCCCGAATACTGAATGTATTTTTGAGCTATCGCTGGCCGATGGTACCGGGGGGTACCAGCCCGATGGTACCGGGGGGGGGGGGAGGGCGGGGGGCACACACCCCCCTTGATAGGCTACAAACCGCGAACATCGCGCCAGTCTTGGAAACGGTTCAGTGACTGAGCTTCAGGAGTCTTTCTCTGCCCGTTTGATGTCTTTGCAGATGTAACGCTCAAGTTCTTCGTGATATTTATGCGGGTCCATTTATCTCTTGCTGCCAACAGTGTCCTCTTGTTCATCTGCTTCCAATTCGGTGCCTTTTCCCGTTTAGAATGTGTGCGTGTGTGTGTGTGTGTGTGTATTCACCTAGTTGGGTTTGCGGGGAGTTGAGCTTTGCTCATTCGGCCCGCTGTATGTGTGTGTGTGTGTGTGTGTGTGTGTGTGTGTGTGTGTGTGTGTGTGTGTGTGTGTGTGTGTGTGTGTGTGTGTGTGTGTGTGGGGGGCTATCCTATCTCCTATCCCCCCCCCCCACACACACACATCGCTCGTTTTTCCAGCATATTTTAGTTCCATAGGTTACTCCGTCCCCTCGTCAGATTCCCCTAAGCAGCCTTACTGTACATTCCTCTACTTCCGTTACGATTTTTGCAAGTGGGAGAACTGTCTACCTCTGTCCAGGAAAGCGGAAGGTGGCCTTGCTTCAATGCCGCTCCAGTGTATGTGTCTAATGATGGGACGGAATGGGATTGGATGGGGTTACTTCTCCCTGAAGGTGATTGGTGAGGGGACGTGGTAGGAGGGAGGAGCAGGCCGTCTTGCTCTACTAGCAGCCACGTGTGTACTGGCGATGTTGTAAAGAAAGGGAATGAGGAAGAGCCAAAGCGGTGACTTACCGGTAAGTTTAGCGCCGGGTGGTTTAAGAGACCGGGGGGCAGGTGGGAATTAACACACCTGGATACATTAGTCCAGCTGTCTGAAGAACAGTAGGTGGGTATTGGCTCTGGAATAATCTATTGCCTAGTTATAAGGCTGAGGTGTGTGTGTGTGTGTGTGTGTGTGTGTGTCTGTGTGTGTGTGTGTGTGTGTGTGTGTGTGTGTGTGTGTGTGTGTGTGTGTGTGTGTGTACTCACCTAGTTGTGCTTGCGGTTATAAATTTGGCGCAGTGATCTTCACGATCGATCGATCAATCGATCTCTTTTTAAACGCTGGAAACAGGATCGTGAACGAATGGACTGGGTTAGGAGTATTGATATAGTTTAAGTGTTATGCAATATATTGGATTCGTATATGGGGTGACAGATGGTGGGTTGAAACGGGACTTGCCTTGTATGGATCAATAGTGGAGTGTGGGACTTGACCCGAGTGTGGGAATTGGACTTGACCCGAGTCATGTAGGGGTCAACAGACACGCCGGGATACTCCCTTTTCCCTGTTTTTTTCGTATAATAATAATCTATATAGAAGTATGATTGACCATTGAAGTATGATTGACCATTGAAGTATGACTGACCATTGAAGTATGAGTGACCATTGAAGTATGATTGACCATTGAAGTATGATTGACCATGACCCAAACCACACATCAGAAGATGGAGAAAATACGACGTTTCGTTCACACACGACTTCTTGATGGTCCAGGACGGACCGAAAAGTCGTCGTTTCTCTATCTTCAGATGTGTGATTTGGTCATCACATCTTCAGCCCCGTTATTGTGACTCATCTCTCTTTATAGAAGTACTATCCACTTAATAAATTAACATGAAATTAATAACCACTTCATAACCACGATCTTCTGCAGAGTCTTGCAAATTGCTGCCGTTGGAGACTTGGATATCAACACTATCCAACTGTTATCTAGCATCTTTATCGTCACTACCTTGCCTCAGAACCCCCTAGAGCTCTCGCCATCAAACTGCGTCTGCCAATCTTGGATCACAATCTTTCGAAAGCTAATCTAGATAGTCTTGAAGTGATTTTAAGTCTGGTTCTGAACTGATTCCTCGTCCAATTTTCCC